AACATGAAACTTTATGTACTTTATCACAGTTTTTCTCCATTGCTATGGTTCATTTCTCAGAACACAATTGAAATTCTCAAAACTACTTAATTATCACTCAAGTTAGAGTAAAAATGTAATTACTAAAATAATTTAGTGATTTGTGTACATAAAAAAAATAATTTTCCTGTTCTGAGAAAATGCATATGCTTTTGTACATCATCAGGTGATTATGTCCAATTCTCTGCTTTTTCATACATTTTCAATTGCTTTTGTCATGTTGATCAAAATGTAAAAACAAAATACATTCTGAGGCTCTGACTTGTTAATTTTACAGATATTTAATTTTCAGAGATGATCTAAGGATTTAGAGAAAAAAACTGAGTTTTGCAAGTAATCCAGACAGTTTTCCTGTTTGTACAAAATGCTGTAGTTATGACTGAGAAAAACTGTATGTTTTTATGCTATAAAGAAACGTTAGAAAAGTGCGGCCCAAACTAATCTCAATTGGCAAATTTTAAACATGTTTTAAATCACAATTCACTCAAATTAAACATTAAATGTGACTTTGTGTGTCACATAACTTCTAAATAATAACATTTTATTTATAAAGCATTTACATATGAATCTCAAAGTGCTACAAAATGACTATAAAGGCAATGTAAAAATCATAAAAACTCGTTTAAACAGCCTTCTATGTGTTTTGTTTTTGTGTTTCTAATTTCTGTCAGGATGCACACAGACACTGTAAGCTTTTAAGATGTGCTTTTATTGTGGAATAAGTACAGCTGATTTTTAATGAAGGCGTGGTGGGAGGTTGGCTTTTTGATTTAAGCCTTTTCCTGATGCTGTGTGGCATCTCCCCACCCACACAGCCACTCGGTTTCGCTGTCTAAAAACTCACAAACAGAAAGCAGAATTTTGTTTCATTTGCATTAATTATAATTTATGATATTTCCATTGAACTAGGTGGATTCTTGTACGCAAATCTATATTTAAAGCACAACCTCCAGACTGAAAAAAAGAAAAACATGGAAAAGGGAAACAGTTGGTTTCATCTTTAACGGTTTAATTGAAGCGCCTTTTGTTAGATTTCACAGGCGCCTCTCAGTTTGAGGTTGTCGTGGGGAAAGAAAACAGACACAACAGAGACGTTCACGCTCCTCTTCCTCGAGGTGCTCCTCTTCGCGCGTCCTCAGGTGGAGCAAAAGTTCATCCTGAGCTGAAAACCACATCGGGAACATCTGCAGTCACATTCTAACATGACGCCTGTCTCTGTGTGAAAAACTAAACATCCCTGCGCCTAAAAACATCCTTAGTACCTCCAAATGTGATAGCTAAAATGTTTATTCAATATGGAGGAATTTTGCCCCATTTTTCAAATTCAAACTAAAATATACTTCTTGATCCAAAAGGGAAATTAAATGTTGCTGTAACTCAAATTAATTCAGATTCTTCAACGAGTTTTTGTAGGTAGTGATGACTGTTGGCAGGAAAGATCTTTTGTAGCAGTCTGTATTACAGTCAGCCCTCTGACTGAAGACACTTATGAAGAGTTTTTCTTTCAGACATGCTTTCATTTGCCTACATTGAAGGTTTTTTAACTATGAAACCCTTTTTTCAAAATCATGCCACTCCATCAGATCTAAGTGCAGACTTTGACTAGAAAACTCCCAAAATTATTTTTGGGGGTGTGGCTTCCTGAGTTTAGCACCACAAACTGATAATCCCACATTCTACTGCAGGATTTTCTGGTAGAAAGCTAATGGTAACAGTAACAGGAAGTTGTTGAGATCTTAACTCAGAAAAATAAACCCAGAAACCCGGTCAAAAACAACCAATCAGAGCCAGGAGGAGGGTCTTTGCGCTGTCAATCATTCTCATACTAGCTGCTTAATATACTAAATGCGGAGAAACAACTTGACAGTACAGGAAAACCATTAATCTGCCAACTTCAGTGGCTATGCTAACTACCTTCAGCATTTGTGGCAGGCTATGTTGTGCAGCATAGCAGCAAGCACATACACAATAGTGATTAACAACGCTAAAATCCTCCTTCTGGCTGTGATTGGTTGTTTGTAACTGGGAGACAGCAGAGGAGCTCAATTTTTTTCACAAATTATCTGTCATATGCTGTCATGATATAATAAATTTAACAAATATGTAAAAAAAAAAAATGTTTATATAAAGTTAGGCACTGCAGCTTTAATTTCAGTAGACTGGACTCTCCTGGGAAGGTTCAGCCCTGTTCCAGATTTTTTCCATGTGTGTAAAAAGATTTTCAGTGTGGTTCTCTGAGTCTCAATATCTTAAAAATTGTCTTATTGTCCTTTCTTCCACTTTTACGGGATCGGGTCGCGGGGGTAGCAGCCTAAGAAGGGAGGCCCAGACTTCCCTCTCCCCAGCCACTTGTTCCAGCTCCTACGGGGAAATCCCAAGGCGTTCCCAGGCCAGCCGGGAGACATATTCCCTCCAGCGTGTCCTGGGTCTTCCCTGGTGTCTCCTCCCGGTGGGACCCAGAATACCTCACCAGGGAGGCGTCCAGGAGGCATCCAGACACCCGAGCCACCTCAGCTGGCTCCTCTCAACGTGAAGGAGCAGTAATATAATCGTAATGGCATAATAATGCAAGAACACATTCTCAAAGATCAATAACCTTTAAATTATAATGAATATTTAACACTGGAACTGGAAGACATTTTAAATATGCAAAATAAATAAACAAAACAGCAGAAACAACAAATAAAATTAATTATGAAGTCTCTGTAAACAAAATTGTCAATCAATTGATTTATTGCAACAGGCCTAAATGTAAACTGACAGTAAACTAATAATCTTTGCCAAGGAACGTTGTATTTTTTCCATAAATGACAATCAATAATCAATATATTAGCTGTTACTGGGGAGGTAAGTAGTCATACAGGTGGGTTGTTTTCAAGAGGGTACAAGCAGGAGAAGGTGGGAAATTAAAGAGTAGAAATGAGTAGAAAAGAGGCCGGAAATGAGCCTTTTTCATTGTTTGTAGGTGTTACGTCATCACTTTTCTCAATATGATTTTATAAGAACCAGAACTCAGTCTGATTAGGATTGTGAATCATAGCAAGGCTAAAGTTTGTGATGGTTGTGACTAATGAGCCGGAAATAAGGTGGAAAGAGCCGCAGCTATTCAACACTTTAGTGCTGCTGGCACTTCATCTCCTTCCTCGGCCCACCTTTGTGTAATTACTGCTCCTTTCTTCAAACACCTCTCCCTCCAAGAGCGGCTGTGAGAGCTGAAGGGCCCTTCATTAGCCCGGAAAAAGGGCGTGTGGGAGTAACTTCGAGCCACATAATGCTAATGACAGCCTGATGAGCTGCAGGCGCTGTCCTCTTGTAATTACAATCAATGTAAATGGCCCAGTCATTCCTTTAGGGACAGGACACCTGTTGATTAGACCTTTCCGTCCCGCAGCGGCCGAAAAAAATGGCCGATTGGCCGCCTAGATGTCGCGGTTTACGGATAAACACGGGCGCCTCTCGTCACCCGCGGCTGTAATCGGTATCCATGGCAACGCCTGGACGCGCGAAACGAGAGCGAGCGACAAAAAGCGAAGCGGCAAGCAGCGACCGGGGTCTGTCTCAAAGATCGTCTATTAGTATGATGGGGGCACCATTGTTCATTACCTCATAATCATCTCAAGGATCATCTGTTGCTTGTTTGAGTTACAGAAAAGCAACAGGGTTAAGTACTAAACACAGAAATATATTTATTTTGTCAGTAATTAAATCAGCAAAGTGAAGTAGATAATTATTTTTCCTAATTTTAAACTAAAGAAAATAGGGTTTGTTTGTAAATCTGAGGAAGCAGCGGAGGTGGAACCATTAAGTTAGTGTGATAACATTTCATTTGAAGGACTGAGCATACGACTGACATGACACCGTCATAAACATAACACAGCAACTGTCATGAACATGAAGCAGACTGTTTTCATGAAGTATCATTTGATAAATAATGCAAGGTTACATTAAAAGTATCAATTTTGCATTATTTGATAAATAATTGATAAATAATGACACTTTTAAAGTAAAAATGCATTAAAACTTGCTTTAAAATATCAGATTGTCCACTTTGCATTAAAAGTAATCTAATTTGCTTTGATTCCTTCATATATGTGGATAATATATGGTACCAGTATCTGGTGTGAATCTTTATTGTTGAAGCTTAACATTAATGAGATCATGCTCACAACTTAGTAAGCAGAGGGTTTTTGTCCCCACTTTTTCTTTTAATATGAGAAGAAATTTTGCTTAATTCCTAAAAAAAAGAAATTAACATATAATTACAATCTGGCTTTCTCTTTGTTTTGAGAAAAACACCCACAAAACCAGGTTAAAACACAAGTAGCTGAGGATATAGTAGTCAAAAATTGTCCTCAAGTAACAGTAGCACTACTTAAACATATTTTTACCCAAGTAAAAGTAAAAAGAACCCATCCAAGAAATTACTCAAATAAGAGTAAAAAAAGTATTTGGTATAACAGTACACAAGTACTGAGCAACTGATCAAAACATAAATTATTTGATATTTAAAAATTACACCAACAGAGACCAAAACAAAAACGTATGCGGAAATATTGGTATTTTAAAGAACAAAATGAGAGTAATGCATATAAACACTGTATCTACGAAATAAAATCAGACAAAGAAAAAAAAAATCCAAATTTTTTTTTGTGTTGTTAATACAGAACTTATGGAATTTTATTACAAAAACTGTGCTGTCTGGTGAATTTTTGGTTAGGACAAGTTTGTTCTTTATTCAGTGAAGTTACACACAGTGGGTAGAAAGTCCAGAAACTCTTACTCAAGTAAGAGTAGTGATACCTCACAATGAAATTACGCAAGTAAAAGTAAAAAAGTACAGCGTAGTAAAAATACTTAATTCCCCCCCCCCCCCTAAAAGTTACTAAAGAAAATGGAAATGGTTATTGTAACAAAACATTTTCCATCTTTTCATTAATAATCATAATGCTTGGCATATCATAGACGATCTTTGAAGAGTGGGCGTTCGGTTCCTCGCTCCCTCCCTCCCTGTGTGGGTCAGCGTGGGCGGCCCCGTGTGGCAGGAGGAGAGCGAAACACGACACCCCGGCTGTGTAAGAAGGAGGAGGGGGTGCTGGAGAGAGAACACGAAGTGACTGAGTGGAAAAAGAAGAAAAAGAGGGGGCACAGAGAAAGAAGTGAGTTGGCTTCGGTACTTTTGTTCCTCCCCGAAGCGCGGCTGTTGTCAGGAGGAAGATGCTGCCGCTGCCCCGGAGGACTCCAACATGCGACACCGCCGCCGCTGCTGCAGCGATAGGAGTGAAAATTTAAACTCGCCACATTCCGTTGCTCCAGAAGCGGCCAACGGCAGCACGGACTGACTCCTCCAAACTTTCACCATTCAGCCGGACCGGACTGGATTTCTCCCCCTCCTCCCCCACAGCTCCAGAGGCTTTGGGACAACTTTGCTGATTTAAACCAGCAACTTTCACAGTGAATCCGTGTGTTTTAAACTCCATTCGGGGTTTTTTTTCTCGGCTCTTTTTTTGGCTAGAACAACACCGGGGGGTGGAAGGAGTGCGGAGCCGCTGCTAACTCAGCTAAAAGCTACCGTCTGAAGTTACCCGTCGACGGGATTGGTGACGGAGGGAGCCGCCGAAGATTTCGACAAAGATGAAAACCCCGGCAGAGACGGGTGAGTGGACATTTCTGTGGTTTTCCAACCAACTTTTACAGACTCTGGTGTTTGTTGTTCCCGGTGAAAACGGCAGCAGTTGTTAGCCTGTTAGCAGCAACAGCTCCAGGGAAAGTGTGACTGAATTATGGCGCTGCAGAGGATCCATCCGTCTGTTAAAAAGTTTCTATCGCTTCCAGCTCAGAACCAACATGGCCCAAACCTGCCTGGCTTCTTGTATCAAAACAAACCTCCATGTTTAGATATTTACAAAAACTGTGGAGTCACGGTTCACTATTACAGCTCTGTATTTACATCATTGAAATCTATTTTAAAGTACAGTTTGATCTCGAAGTAAACAAATATAGACTGTACAGTTTATTTACAGTCTGGGTGATTTGAACACGGTCTTGATTTACTTGAAAATTTAATTGAACATATTAGGTAGGGGCAATGCACATTAATTAACTTTACTATAATACGCTAGAATTAGCCAAAATGCTATTTTTCATTTGTTATCCCGGGACAATGCTCATTTTGTCCAACTAAAAACAGACTATACACATAACTTAATTAAACAAATTATGTCAACAAAGCATAACAAAACAAAGAAACTGCAACACAGTTGTCATAAAAAGCACACGAAGTAATTAAAACAAAATACATTTTTAAGAATACATTGAATTTACTTTAGCAGCAAAACAGTTGTTGGAAAGGAGAATTAAGAGAATTGAGTGTTATTATTCAGGTTTTAGTTACCAAAAATGGCAAATTTAATGTTGGAGATTTCATTTTTATAATCTCACATAGTTTAAAATTTAACATCCATCTGTAGAAAAATGTTTCAAATGAAGCCAAAAATAATAAATTAAACATATCCAATATGTTACTTTGTGACAATTTTGAGAAACATTCAAGATTTATAACTGACTGTAAACAAAATATGAGTTCCCTTTATAATATCACTGATTGCAGAAAGTTTAGCTTACAAACCACATGTAAAAATAGTGATTGTTGCAGACTTTTACCCACTTATATGAAAATAAGGTGAAAAGTTGAAGCCCAGCAAACATAATTTACTTGGTTTTGCAGAAAAAAAAAGTTTTACAGTGAAAATCCTTGAACTCAGTGGTGTTGAGAAGGAGAAATAAGAGGATTTAAAGTGATTATCCTCCTTCTACTTTACAAAAGGACACACTTTATGTTGGAGATTTTATATTAAACTGAAGCCGGTCACATGGTTGCTTCAGAAACTTTAGGAAGTGGCAATAATTAGTATGTTTGGGTAAAAACTGTCCAATCAAATGACAAGAAAAAGCATTTAAGGTGGATACTTTGGCTCAATGTAACATCAGAAATGATGAAACCAATATGGAGATTCATTGAGATTTGTTTGCAAAGTACCAATGCACCAATCTGTTTGCCAGAGATCATAACCAGACAATTTTTCATTGAAAATTCCCTTCAAATACTGAAAATAGTTGTTTCTCCACCCTGTTTTCCCTCTCGTTGTATAAAATTTTTAATCTCACATCATTCTTGGTATAGAAGTGCATTAAATATTAACTTGTCCTCTGCACTTTTTAGTTTAACTGCAATCAGACCAAGATAAGGGGGATAATCTTACTCTAACTTTATTCTCTGGTTGACGAAGGGTGTTTAAATCAAGTTTTTGGTTCAGATTTTAGATTTTTAAGCATTCTGGTCATTAGGAATATGATTTCTGAACATCCATCACCCATTTTGTTGCCTGAAATCAATTCACATCCATCCATTTAACCAATGTTTAACAGTTTATTTTGGTTCTGATTCCTTTGAAATACCAGAGACTGTGCCCTCTGATCAAACCAGAACAACTCTAAGTTGGTATATAGTATTAATTGTGAATACATAACTACATTTATTCATATTAATCTATGAGATGCATTTAGAAAAAAATGTTAGTTGTTAAAGTGGATATGAATTGATGTGTGATTGCTAACAAATGTGTGATTTCTGGGCCAAAATGACTATATTTTCAATAAAATTTTACCATTTTAAGTTGAAATCCTATTTTTATTACTATATAACTTTTGATTGATCCATGCAAATTGCATTAGTTCCACTAATCAAAGCTGAATGACTAAAAATCCTGAAGTTAGACAGGATCTCCTGCAGAAACTAGAGGGAAACTTGGAGATAGTTGCAATAAGAGGAATGAAAAATGCTGTCTGTTTGTTTACAAAGCTTTCAAATGAATCCCACTTCCAGAAAGACGAGCTTTCAAAAAAAAAAAAAAAAAAAAAAAAAGGAGCCGCCTTCCACCTGAGATTCAAGCAGACCTTATGGCTCTTACAGTTAACATTCCTCCCATTTTTCTGTGACACCACCGATTTTGCTGAAATGATTATAATTTTCCCCCCATTGTGCATTTAGGTGCTCTTAAATTCAGTTTAGTCAGGAGCGCTTTGCGGTGACCTCGGGCAGGCAGGGATCCAGCGGCCCATAATAGACGCTTAAAGAGGGGAATGCCTCGCCGCAACACAACGTCGTAATTAGAAATGTGGTTTCATCCATCTCGTTGCAGCTGAAGGTGCCTTTTTATATCCCAAACTGCTCTGGAGGAGCCGAAAAGAAGCTCAATCTTCGCATGAAGGAGTGAAAACTTTATCTTTCTGAATCGAGCCTCCTTATTTTCATGACTCCATCTTTATTTTTAGAGGACGGCTCAGACCAGCGGGTCATCGTCGCCTATTTCTGACTCCTGAACATTGTATTCCCTCCTAATGACTTCCAGCATCCAGGGGCTGTGTCACACTTCCGCTCGGTTTTAAAAGTAGACCGTCTAGTTTAACCCACATGCCGCTCTCCTTTGTGTGTTTTTGACCCGAGTTCTGGTTTGGTGCAGCTTGTAGCAGCTTGCAAAAGGCTTAGAGGAGTTTGTGTGGCAGCTTAAAGAAAGTTAACCCAGTTCCATTAGTTTCTGTTGATTAAAGCCAGAGTTGAGTAGCAACTAGTTACCTTTAGTTAAGTAACTTTTTTTGAAAAAAATAAAATAAAATAAAAAATAAATAAATATACTTTTCACTACACTGTACATTTTACTTTTACTTGAGTAATTTTATTATGAAGTGTTGCTACTCTCACTTGAGTAAAAGTTCTGCATTATCTACCCACTGAAAAAAAGAGAGAAAAAAAAAACGCATTTTAACCAAAAATTCACACACCTGCAGTTTTTGCTGAAGTTTCATAAGTTTTTTATTGAAAGAAACTGATTTGGAAAATAAATATTTTGTTTGATTTTGCTGTTGTTTGTGCAAAAAATACCATCATTTCCACATATTTTTAAAATTTGGTCTGTCTGTTGATGTAATTTTTCAATATTAATTGATCTATAATTTGATCAGTTACTCAGTACTTGAGTAGACTTTTTACCAAATACTTTTTCAGTAATTCCCTGGATGGCTATTTTTTACTTGAGTAAAGATATGTTGAAGTAGTGCTACACTTAGTGGAGTACAATTCATAACTCCAGTTGACGCTTTTACTCCAAAGTTTTTACTTTAGGAACCCTTTTGTGGTCTTGCAGACCTTTGCAGATATAAATATCTCCATTAAACAAAACAAATAATGGGTCAGCCTGCACTGTCTTCCTATCAGGAAGTCACAAGTCTGGCTCCACCAGCTCCAGCTCCAATTTTCCACTGGTGTTCCTCCTTATATCAACAACACTCCACATGTGAGACGTCACAGCTGCGGCCGGCCGGGACCGCCCGCTCGCCCGCTCTGCGCCGTGTTGCATGTGAAAGGAGCCATACATTAGCAGAGAGCTGCTGTTTACGACTGGGAGGCTTAATTGAGTGCGTGCACAGGCGCGCAGACACGTGTACGACTGCTGGTCTGTCGCAGCGTGGCTCCACCTGATGTTGATGTGGTCACAACAAAACAAGTGTTTTTACTGTCACGCTTCAGGAAGACCGCTTGGTTGTGGGCTGATGAGTGAAGTCGTATTTACAGGAAGTGGAAAGCGCTAATAAGCCTGCCTTAAATTTGGCTAATGAACCACATTCTGTCTGTTAAAACATCAACAAACACCAACATGAACCTCTACAGTTGTTAGACGCACGGCTTAACCTGGAGTAATAAAAATAAATCACATATACCAGCAAGGGATGTGCAGTATGGTATAAAATTCATATCCTGGTCAAGCCTGTCACAATAAACAATATATCAAATAAACGCATGATAAATTAAAACAAACTCAATAATTTCCAGTTGCACAATTCCTTTTTCTCTCTTTCTACCAAAAACTTGGTGATAGAAGTCTTCAGTCTGGTGTTTTGGTCTCAACTTGAAGGACAGTTTTGTTCGAGAAACTTCATAATTCATTGTATTTGTTCCTTCTGTTGTTTTGTTTATTTACTTTAAATATTTATATTGTCTTTTAATGTATGGAAAAATGTTTAAGTTAAATTAAAAACTTGTAGAATGTACCATTTTTTTCCAAATCTGTTATTTATTTTGATCTTTTATTTATTAGTTTTTGGAATAATCGATTACTTGGTAGTTATTAATTGGAGCCACACAGTGCCTCAGATCAGTATTCACACCCTTAAACCTCGTCCTGTTCTGTTAGTTTATCACCTTTCACAATTACAAGCTTTGCTGGACGTTAAATTGTCCAATTAATACTAAAATGTTGTTTTTAGACCATTTTAAATTAATAATATATGATATTGGCATAAAATATAAGTATTCCCTGTATAAGAACAATAAACTTTAATATCTAATGAGCATTTAACACAGAATTGGAAGACAGAAACAAATGAAATGAAGTCTCTCTAAGAAAACATTACCTTAAAAAAAGGGGGTAGTTGAGACCAAAGCACCAGACTGAAGACTTTTATCATCCAGTTGTTGGTAGAAAGAGAGAAACACAAGAAAAACAGTCATCCAGATTTAAATGATCAAGCTTGTTTTTAATCATCATGTTATTAATTGGTTTATTGCTTATTGCGACAGACTTATCTACAACCCTAAAT